GGCCTGCGATGTGAATTGTCCCCTTGTTCAGCATCTCCATGCTATAGTCATTCCCACCTGTGTCACTTAGTAGGCGGTCTGGGTTATCAGATCAACTGTCTTGGTGTCTCAGTGCTTCTGTTCAGGTGATCCTTATTTTATTTACTAATGGCCCCAAAGAGCAAGACTAGCGATGTTGGTAATTCAGATAAACCAAGAAGCCGTAAAAGTGCTTCCTTTAAATGAAAAGGTGAAAGTTCTCAACTCAATAAGGAAAGAAAAAAAATCGTATGCTGATATGGCTAAGACCTACAGTAAGAACAAATCTTCTATCTGAAAAATTGTGAAGAAGGAAAGAGAAATTCCTTCTAGTTTTGCTGTTGCATCTTAAACTGCGGAAGTTACAGCCACAGTTGCGATAAATGCTTAATTAAATGGAAAAAGCATTAAATTTGTGGGTGGAAGAAATGAATAGAAACATGATGGCAATTGAGTTCATACTATCTGTGGTTTCAGGCGTCCGCTGGGGTTCCTGGAATGCATCCCCAGCGGATAAGGGGGGACTTCTGTATTCATCAACAGTGGTTAAAAGTAACAGCCAACATGCTACCTGGATCCTCAGAGCTCAATCCATCATTTCCTTTAAGTCTTGGTCTAAATGCCAACTTTTCAAAAAGGCTCAAGGTGGCTATTCTAATTAAAATTGCTCTCCTCCTCCTATACTCCCAATTAACTCAATCTGCCAATTTATTCAGAGATGTTAGCCCCTTGTAATGTGTCACATGGTTTACTGAATCACTGTATGTGTCAATTGTTCCACTTCCCCTTCCTGCCAACACACACACACACAGACACACATACACACACACACACACACACACACACACACACACACACGCAAATATACGAATTACAAGGACAGGATATTTATCTGTTTACTGACTTATCTCAAAAATCTAAGAGTCCCTGGCAAATAGTAGGAAGTAAAAAGTTAACATATATCAGATGAATGAATGAATGAATGAATAAATGAATGACTCTAGGCATAGACAGAGCTGGCCCTGAGTCCCCATTCAGCCTATACATGCTGTATGACTTTGGGAAAATGATCACCCTCTCTGGTCCTGTGTTTCTTCATTGGTAAAATGAGGAACATACAAGTATCTACCCCATAGGATCTTTGAGAGGATGAAGTGAGTCTGTGAATGTCAAGTGCTTAGCATCATGTCTGGACATAGAAAGCTTTCACTAAATATTAGCTGTCATAGTTATTAATATAATTTCAAGATAGGTTTCCCTGTGGTGGCAGTGATGGATTTGTGATGATTTATGCTCTCAGGCAACTGGCTCTCCTCATATCTGACAGCGTCGATCTGCAATGGTGAAAGAAACCCAAGGCCCTTGGTGGAGCAGCAGAGCTACCACGGGTGGCGCCCCAGCCCTGTGATCTCTCATCACAGCTCCAATTCCAGGATATCTACGGCTCTGCGAAAGAGCTGTGAACAGTGCAAGTGCTACTGCCTCTGACCTGCTGAAGTAGAATAAACATAACATTGAAACCACTGAGTAAGTGATGGCGAGGCTCAGAAACCTTAAAAGGCAGGGAGAGCAGCTCCTCTCTTCCTACTTAAACTGAGATTTGTTTATTTGGCTTAACTGGAGTCAAAGCTAATGGTTCTAATGGCTTTGAATGGCCCCAACTTATTCTCCAGATTTCTACACATGGACTGTAACTTACACTTCATGAAAGAAGATAAAGTGAAAAAAAGAAAAAAAGCAGCCCTCTATAAAAGAATTTACCAGAACATACTAATCATTTAGACATTCGCTTATGTTTCCAGAAAGCTAAGGGTCAAGAATGGTATGGTAACTTTTTCCCAGGGCAAAATCCAAGTCTGCCTAATGGCAATAGGAGGTGGGCCCACAAATTAGACCAATAACCTGAATATTCACTAAGGATTTAGGAAAACAAAACACATTGGAAATACCCATTATCATTTACACATACCTTTGATCTAGGAAGAAAAGCAAAGATTTCAGGACTCATTGAGTTAGGAGGAGAGGTGGGAATTTGAGAGGAAGATAGAGATGAGAGAGAAAAAGGGATGACAAAAGGGGGGAAGAGTATTTATGGATTTCTTGGCAATAATAGCCTTAACTTCCCTGTTAATTATAATATGTCTTTTGAAGGCTAATCAGTGGTCCCTTAAGGTATTATAAGAGCAAAATGACATGACCAATGACACAGTCAAGGAATAGATAATGACAAATAATGCCAATAAGGAATTTCTCTCTTCACTTTACAGAAGAAAGACCCCCAGAGTTGAAGCTAGAGTTAAATTTCCAGACCCCCAAGTCAATGCTCTGCACTCTACACAAGAAGTTCCTCAAACTTTGAATGTGCACGTGATCAATGATTGAGTAGTTCCAGAAGAAACCCAAGACTCTGCATTTCTGATGAGCTCCCAGGTGGTGCTGATACTGCTGGTCCTTGGATTACCCTGAGTTAGAAGCCTCAGCCCCACTGTACCTGTTAAAGTAAGACTCCCAAATAATTTTTTTTAATGAAAAGGTATTTTCTAAAAGCAAGAGAAGTGAGATTACTGATAGGATACTGATGTTTTAAAGTTCTGACAATTCAACATTTGCAATATTCAAGGGGCATTTGCATAGCAGTATCAACTGCCATTAATAAGTCAAATATACTTAAGTTGCAGATTTTTAAAGCATACACAAACACCAATGTTTTATAGTTGAGCAATTTCACTGCATTTTATTGATATGCATTTATTAATAATATCCCCCTTATGTTTGAAATACACCATACAAAAATTACACTAAACCCACAAAAAATGTCTTAATTCTCAACCTCTTTTAATAATAGAGATACCATATCTAAGGGTTGCATTCACTTTCTTTGAAATTAGACATTTTAGATAAGAAAAATGGCACACTAGATTCCAACAGATTATTTGCACAGATTTTACCCTGGAATAGCACAACATAACAAAGTTGACCATACCCAATTACATATATTAAAACCTTACTTAAAAGGGGCCACAGGATAGGTAGTGGCAGAAAAGAAAAAAGGTCAGGTTACTTCTGTTTCTTTTTTTCCTCACCCTTCACAGAGGAATCTAAATGCATTTTAAGAAAGTTGATGACAACTAAACACATGGTATACCTCCAACCAAAACTCGCGGTTACCTCCCAAAGCTTCCTATTGGTCCCCTTGAATCAGCTGAGCACAAGAAGTTTTTCCTACAAAAAGTCCACAGTGTATCTAAATCTGATCCCAGTAAAATTTGACTTCAGCTGAAGTGAAAATGCAGAGGTAGCATTTACGGATAACAGCTGGAGAACATTAGTTTCCTGTCTCTCCTTTTCTCTCCCAAGGGTTGAAAATTCTGCTGTTCAGACAGGAAGTCGTCATATACCACACACTGTACGATACAAGAATGCTGGGATGTAAGAACAAGTTGCAGAGGATTAGAAGGACTGTGGAGTGGTTTTGTTCAAGAAAGAATGCATAGCAGTGATTCTATGTACCTCCTGGGCTATCCTTTTCCCTGACAGTGTTCAACTAGCACAGTGTACGCACACCCAGAATGGACAAGCACAAACTACGATTAAGCTGAAAGCTTTTTAATAAGTCAGAGTAAGAAGGCTTAATCATTCACTTCTCCACACATATTTATAACACTAACTCTAAGACATTCTGAGGAGTGGCCAAAATTGTCCCATAATCTTTTCTGGCACACTTTCAACATTTGCTATCTAAAAAGACAATCTTTAACTTTTCATAAAAAAAAATTGCCCCCAAAAAAATATAATACCCTTCACATCACTGCCCAGGATAAGGATGAATATGTATATATGTGTCAAAACATGATCAGAAAAAGAACGATTTAAACAAAAAGTTCTTGTGGATATGGTTTTTTTAGGGTCGGTTTCTGCTGTAATTTCACAAAGCTCCTGAGAAACGAACACAGACGCAAACACACAGAGACACCCACATTCTGCGGCCAAAGCTCAAAGTTTTGAACAGGACGATAAGAGTTTCCTTAACACCACATGCTGAATAGCTATTCTGCATTCCTACCAGTCTGCAAGAACTGGCCCCTCCTTTGTAACCAACTGTCCTCTGGGGGCGGGCTGTAAAACTGACCCAGTCTCTTCCACTCCCCTCCTGCCAAGCTCACAAGATACAAACCTTCTTAACTTTTGAAATGCGGAAAAATGCCTTTGCCTTATGCATATCAGGGGCATGCAGTTAATTGGGTTACAACACTAAGGTTTTATGCAAAAAAGGGGAGGAGGGATGAGGGAGAAGCCAACCCACACATCCATCATCCTTTTAGGAGTGGGTGGAGTTTAAAGTTTCCCCAACTTCCAACTTCCCACTTGACAGGCAATATTTCTGTGCAATTTCCAGCCCCACGTAACGGATGGTCCTTTGCCCGTCTCGAGCCTGGAGAGAGCCCAGACAAAGCCCCCAGCCACTCCACGCCTGACGGGACCGATAGGTGGTTAGTTTCATGAAGCTGTCAGAGAAGGGGCAGTTAGCAAAGAATGGAAACTTAACTTCTCCTTCCAGAAGTTTTTCCTGCTACAGTAGAGTCCAGGGGACTGGAGCACAAAGGCCTGGGAAAGTTTTCACTGTGTTATTTTTCAAAAACGTCTTCCGCCATCTGCCAAACCATTATCTCCTAAACCCCAGACGCCAGGGAGGGGAAGTTGAGGCACATGGGCTCAGAAACACAGCAGAGATGCAACTTGAGCCATCCCAAAGACAAACTGGGAAGTTGGTTAAAGAGACCCCCCCTCGGTAGGAAGGCATCTTTGGGGCGCCTGACCCACTCAGGGATCGCTCAGTACCAAGGGGAAGGTGATGGCCCAGACAGGGTGCTCAATGGGGGGTGCGTCACCGCAGCCTGCGAGAACCTTCCTTCCCAGCCAGGAGGGCGAGGGAACGGGAGGGGGACGCGATCCCGGAGTCTGCGGACGGGCGGCCCACTCACCCTCACTGCCGTACTGTTTGCCATTGTTCGCGCCCATCCTGTCGCCGTCATGCCCGCCGTCTCCCGGGACACTCCATAGCTGGGGCGCACCTCCTGCGCTCTTGGCCAGAGGAAAGCCCGCCCGACGGGACCGTTAGCTGCACATACCCCCCACGCTCCGAGGCCGATCTCCGGCCGGGGGTGGCCCCTGCACTACGGTGGGAGGGGGGCGCTCCGTCCCCTCCTGGCACCCCCGATCGGTCCAGGCGGGGCCAAGGACAGAGCCGCTCTTAGAATCCGCGCTCGGGGCGGGCGGGCGCAGCGCCGCGCAGAGCCGGAGCCCCGGGGCGGCCCAGAGGCTCGCCGCGCCGCCGCCGCCGGGTCCCCATCCGCCCGCCCCGATCCCCTGCGGTGGGCGCTGAGCCGCGCGGGCGCCCGGGCTCTGGGGCTCGGCTGCCGCCTTCGGGCGCCCCTGCACGCCCGCGGCTCCCCCGGGGAGGGCGCGGCGGCCACTTGTTGCGGGTGCCCAGAGCAAGCTAGACTCGCTGCCCGGCGCTGCTCGCCCGCGGGCCGGACTTTTGTTAGCGCCAGGCGCCTCCTCTCGCCGCCCAGCGTCAATCACAGCTGGAGCCCCGGGGAGGAAGGCCGGCCCGGAGATGCGCGGCCTTTTAAAGGGGCAGCGCGCCTTTTCGGGGCTCCGCTCCCGGCCCGGGCCTGGGCACCGGCTCTGCGTGCCACCCGCTAACCGTTTGCAGCGAAGGGACGTGCTGCTGGCTCTGTTTTACTATTGTTCTTTTGTAGGCCCGGCCCCAGTTTATGAGACGAACTTCCAGGCGTCGTTTGAAGTCCCTTGGGTTGGTCTGCAAATATAGCCTATTTTAGGCCCGTGGGCATTTAAAATAAACACTCGTCACTCTCTGATTCTGACACATTTCAGGTGTGTATGTTGGCATTCTCCTGTGGCTTCACAGGTTTGGGGACTGAGGCGGGGAATGGAGGAGAGAAGGAGGGAAAACTTGAGGCGAACTTAACAGGGAAGCGGCCCCTAGAGAGCGAAGACATTCCCCGCCCGGGTGAAGGAGGTTTCCTGGCTCGGAACTTTTAAGAGCTTCAGAGCCAGGAAGTGTATTTTCTCCTCGTTTCTATGATCTTTTTTTCTTGTGGTTGGTGTTATCCTTTGTTTAATACATTATAACCTCTTTTGGAGATTTATATGGCACTTGCAGAGCCTTGAAATGGCCCTTTGGTGTTCCCTGCATTAAATAGAAAAAAGGAAATTCTTTTTAATGTTTTACTCTCTTTCCATGTAAATGCCTAGAATTTTATAACAGTACATCCTAGTAAAGACCAGGGCACTCGCCACACAGATTTCTTTGTAGAGAGGCAATTACACAGCACAGTTTCTACTTATAGGTGTTATATGTTGCAAATTAAACTAATTATATATAATGAATATATATATGCATATGATACTTGAATAGAAAACTAGGTGTTTTCTAATTATATATTTCTTAAAAGGCTTGTGACCACATGCAGAAATTGTTAGTGATTTGGATCCTACATATTCTATTGAGGTAATTTCCTTTAATTTGCCACAATTTCTTTTCAAAATTTAAAAATTCGGATATCATGCATTAAAAGAAAACATAATTCAACTGTTTTCAAGAATAGGATTAAATAGTATTGTATTGTGCTGATAACACTGTCACAGTCCAAAGAGGTGAAAGACTATATTTTAACTCACCTTTTGATATCTAGAATCCAGCACAATGGCCAATAACATGTGCTTCCCAAATGTCTGCTGAGTTAAATTAAAAGCCTGTGTCATGAGCTGTAAATAAGGGAAGGGTGTCAAACATTTGAAAGAGTTAATGCGTTATCTGAGATTTCACTTGAAAGTGTAAACCCAATCTATAATAGAAAGGAGCTGACATTTATTTTATCTTCATGCAAAGTAGGTTTCTGCTCACTTGGTCTGTCTTAGTTCATTTTCTATTGCTTATTACAGAACACCTGAAACTGGGTAATTTATAAAGAAAGGAGGTTTGTTTCTTAGTTTTGGAGGCTGAGAAGTCCCAAGTCAAGGGACCACATCTGGTGAGAGCCTCCCTGTTGGCAGGGACTCTACAGCGTCCCAAGCTGCACAGGGCATCACGTGGTTAGGGGCGACCAGCATGCTAGCTCAGGTCTTGCCTCCTCTTCTTACAGAGGCAACAGCCCCACTTCCATGATAACTCATTAATCCATTAACCCATTAATCCATTGATCCATGAATGGATTAATCCATTCATGAGGGCTTTGCCCTCATGACCCAATCATCTCTTAGAGCCCCATCTCTCAATACTGCCATATTGGAGACTTAATTTCCACATGAGTTGTGGAAGGGAAAAATATTCAAACTTTTCTGTCACCATTTAGGGAACTACCCTAGATCTGACCATTTTGGAGGCTTAGTTAAAAATAAGCCAGCCATAAAGTAGCACAGCAAACGAAGCACATCTTGATGTTTGAGGTAGAATTGACAACTTGCTTTTTTATATGCTATTATTTCCCAATGGTCTCAGGACCTCTTTCGAGATCTACAAATGAAGGAACTGACAGGAGAAGAAACTGAGGCTGGAAGAACTAAACGTCTAGAGTCACACAGGTGGTGAGTGCCAGATGGATTCAGTTTCTCAGGTTCTGTCCTCCCCAATCCACTGCCTCTCTTGGCCTGGCCATTATTCAACTTGGAGTCACTGTCCTCCCTTTTTGGTTGGGTCTCCTTTTAGGGTCTTTAATGTCAAAGTAAAGTTAACAGTGAAAAGTAAATTATAGTAACTAATTACATTTATCTTCTCTTCTTCGAAATTAAAGTCTGTAAATATTTTTCAAGGTTCTATTGCCTGCCATAATGGGAAATAGAGATAACCCACTTTATGAAATTCCATTTTAAAACAAATTAGAAAAAAATACTTGATTTTTTAACATCCTTCTGATAATATAAGTTGATTAAATGCATGTTGACCTAGTATAATTCCATAAAAGCTCAAACAAAGACATAGTTAAGCAAAAAGAAAGAAAAGCACTATTATTCCTGGTAAAAATAAAGGTGTATTCACATGTGTATATATTTTAATTTTCAAACTTAAAATATTGTACAAAAATGATTTTAACCCAAAACTCCAATCTTTTTACCCAGCTTCCAAATCTAACCCTCACCTTTCAATACTGATTTGCTAGATCCTTGAGAAAAGGGTTGTATGTTTTTCACCAATGTGTTCCCAATACCTAGCACAGCCCCTAACACAAAGTATAACTCAATAAATACTTGAAGAAGAAATAGAATGACTTGAATGTTATTCCATGTTCTCTGTCTCTGCCTTTTTTAAGGGGGCACAATCATTTAAAATTTTTTTGTTTTTTTTTTTTTAAGCAAGCAGTCTAAGTCATCTAAAAACTGAATAAGAATATTCTGAAAATCTGTTGTTTTTCTTCACCTTTTCCTTCCTGTTCTGATAACATCAGGTCCTGTCCTTTAGGAAACTGTTTCGTCCAAATTTCAACCATAGGCTTCTTGTGAACACTTGTCAATCATGGGATTGGTGGTAAACTTCCTGGACAAGGATGGACCCATGACTGGATGACTCAATGGGACACCCACCGCACCTGGTTGTAAGGACAAAAGCAAATGCCTCTCTGCCTCCCTTCTAGGGTGTCAGAGAAGCCCTAGTGGAGAGTCAGGAATTTTACCATTACTGAGGGTAACAGTGACACCCAGCTCTAAGGAGGCACCCCCTCAAGTCAGGTGACAACAGAAGTCAAATCGAGAACCTGAGATTCTACCTCTACCTGGCAGTTACAATGTGGCCTCCCTCTTTTTCCAACCACAGCAGTGTCAGAAAAAGACAGTTAAAACAAATACTTTATATAAGATCTAGAGTCTCACAACATAATCAATCCAAAATCACTCATCATACCAAGAACCAAAAAGATTTCAAATTGAATAAAACAAGATGATCAATAAGATGCCAACACCAGGATGACAGATATGTTAGAATTATCCAACAAAGATTTTAAAATAGCCATGAAAAAATACTTTGTTTATTGTACAAACACTCACATGAGTAAATTATAAACATGCTTATAACAAAAGTAAAAACAGAAAGCCTCAGAAAAGAAATAGAAGATATGAAGAAGAATCAAATGGGAATTCGAGATCTGAAAAATGTAGCTAAAATAAAAAGCTCAGGAGATGGGCTGAATGGCAGAAAGAAGAGACAGAAGAAAGAATCAGTGAATTGGAGGATGGATCATTAGATAATATCCAACCTGAACAAGGGGGAAATAGGCTAGAAAAAATGAACAGAGACTCAGGGATATGTGGGACTATAATAAAATATCTAACATTTGTGTTGTCAGAATTTCAGAAGAAAAAGAGACAGAGGGAAGAGCTGAAAATGGACTTGAAGAAATAATGGCTAACAACTTCCCAAATTCTTGAAATGACAAAATTATAAAAATGGAGAACAGATTCGTGATGGCTAGGGGTTAAGGTGGGGGCTGGAGGGAAGTGGGTGTGCTTATATTATAAAAGGGCAGCATGAGGTAACTTTGAGGTGATGGAAATGTTCTGCATCTTGACTTTATCAGTGTCAGTGTCCTGGTTGTGACATTATACTACAATTTTGCAAGATATTACCATTGGGGAAAACTCAGTAAAGGGTCAATGGGATCCCTCTGTATTATTTCTTACAAGTGCATGTAAATCTACAAATTATCTCTAAAGAAAAAGTTTAATTTGAAAAAAGAAATCTTTTTCTCTCTATTAGGACTATTTCTACATATTCTTTCTCTAATATCATTTATCTGCGGCACCTCCTATTCTCTCTTCACACACATACATTCCCCTGGGAGAGCAAAAGTCTTAAGGAAAACCGATTTAGTGTTAAGCCAATTTATATCTAGATCTATTCAGCATTGAACGATTTAGGCAAAGTAGTCAGCCTAGAATGGTACATACCCAAAGCCTTGAACCTTGAGTTACCGGAATTAATAAACTCCAGTGACGAAAGGCACTGGCCAGTTACTAAATAGCTCCCATTTACTTTGCCCTGTGTGAACCTGATACAAAAAAGAGAAACACAGAGGTAGAAAAAAATCTAAGTTTTAATCGATATTCACATTTTTATTTCTATTTTGTAGTGACTAACTCAGTGGCCTTTTGCTGCTTTAATAAATATGTCAACAGTCTGAGTAATAGGAATGTGCTTTCTTCCAGTAGTATTTTTTTAAGCATATTGAATTCAAAAGCCAACTTGCTTT